CAAAAAGGAAAAAAAAAAAAAAAAAAAAAAAAAAAAGAACCACATTGAAGAAGGGTGGGGAAGAATGAATCCACACAAACTTGAAAACATATTTTTACTATATATCTTGAGGCTAAAGATAAAAAAAATAACCACAGACAAATATTGAACTGTAGTTAGTAAATTTGTTTTGGGCAGAAGTATGCATTAGCAATTCTGAAACTAGTTTCTGAGTGTTACAGGACAGAGCAAAAGAGAAATCGGTCGTGGATATGGGAGCCAGGTTTCTCGTGATCAGGGAAGGGGTTACAAATAAAGAAAGGCAGAAGGTCAGAGTGAAACCTGAGGTGTGTTAGAATGGGATTGGAGTCTTTTATATAGATAGATAAATAGATTGTGTGTACACATGTATGAGCACATACATACACGTGCTTCCTAGCTCTGTCCACTGATAGAGCCAAAAAACAATGACAGCCCAATAGCAGTAAACACATATAGCACCCAGATATTGATTTCTAAATACCATTCTCCATTGAATGGAACCAGAGCTCTTTGGAGAAATTTCCAATTCCTGGTACAAGAAAAGAACCTGGGATATCTAATTGTGCCAGAAAATGAGGAAATGTCCTAAGAATGATAAGGCTATGTCAAAAGTACTCAGGAGCCAGCAGCTTGAAGGGGCTCCCACTGGACAAATCTGGGATAATTTGAGCACCAAAGTAAATCATGCTGGTAATGGATTGTAAACTACCAAATGAATTAAGAATCCATGAGTTGATACTGATATCATAAAGTTAGGTTAGAAGGAAAGGTCTTCCTTTTGGTATCATCTAAACTGATCACCGACAACATTCACAGTAGTGGTTCATTCTGATAAGAATCATAAATTAATGGTAAAACTAGTTGGTGCAAGTTTCATGAGTAAAGGGATATTCACATAACTTTAACTTGTCTTTCAACAAGGTAGCCCCAAGTTGTTCACTGAATTTCAAAGGGAATGACAGTAGGTTTGGGGGGAAAAAAACATAGCAGGCAACACTTTAACCAGGTGACCAAAACTAGTGTCACCAGGAATGGGACAAATAGACATCCCCCCAACATGCACTAAGAACACATCATCAATTTTGCAGTATTTCTACAAAAAAAAAAAAAAAACCAACCCTGTATAATTTGAATCTAATCATGAGGAAATGTCTGAGGAACATTCTATGAAACAACTGAACCGTACTCATCAAAAATGTCCATGTCATAAAAATCAAGGAAAGTTGAGGAACGTTTCAGATTAGTGTAAAAAATACATGTCTGAAGATACATAAAACTGAAGGAAACAATAATTCAGAGTTTTCTTTTCCAATAAAGAATATTTTGGGGACAAGTAGCAAAATTTGCAGTAT